TCCTACTGCTGTTGCCCTCCAAGAGGGAACCACAAGATTAGCCCTTTTACTTTCTGATGAAGCAAGGCAATTACATTAAGTGCATGCCTTTGAAGGTGACATTATTACCTGCACGTACAATCTGTATCAGGAAAATAATGGTTTAACTTACTGAAAACGCTGAATACTTTAAGTGGCAGAAAAAGACACATGCAATTGCCACATCACTAAAAATCCTGTCCTCCTCAAAATCCTGTCTCCTTTCCTCTTTATTCTCATGCAGAAAAGTATATCTGTTGGCTGTTCTCTTTAATAATTTCCCCTTTCTAGCTCTGTAACAACTGATAAGCTGTTGTCCCCACATTTCCACCGATGCAAATGAAAGCAATTAGCAAGCTTAGGTTCTAGAAAGCAATTAGAACGCTGGTCCAAGATTCAGATGATATACAAATTTGTAAGCCACCCAACGGTTCTGTGAAATACAGATCATGACTGCTTATGCTGAATTTTTCTGAGGTCTGGCTGAGACATGGACATTCTACACTTGATAGTTGCTGGAAACCCCTCTCTGAAAATTAGTTTCAAGATGGACACCTTACAACAGAGATGCTCAAAATCATGATTACTACTTCCACTGTGCTACTACGTATACCAAGACACAAGTGAGCAAGCCAAATAATCGTGCACTGCACCAAAGGGACTGACAGTGGGGAATACCAATTAGAAGTTCACCAGGAGTACTACAGGTCTCCAGTGTGAAGAACGTCCCCAGTCACTTATAAAGATGGCCATGTTATTTTTGATCTTACCTTTGCTGCATCATTTTTATCCTATGTAGGCAGGGACATATCATTCCCTGAATGACCAGGAAGGCAGAAGGCTGGAAGATGAACTTCCTATGGAATTCATGCTGTTTGGGGACCTGAAGGAGCAGCTGTTGGCCAGTTCTCTCATTCAGCTCTGGGTTTTTCATGCTGGCCTGCTTGGACCTAAGAAGCCTCACACATACCGTCTTTTCTTCTCTCCCTATCTCTTTTTTTTCTTTTTTCTCTCGTTAGGAAAGAGTCCTAGGCATTCTGATGCAGTTTCTTTGCAGCTGTGAAAATCCAGCACAGTACATGGGGCTGCACGCTACCCCTTCATGTTCTGGATGAACCTCACTCTATGGCAAGAGAAAACTTTCGTGACTATATTAACAGGCAGGAGAAGGAATTCTCAACTACCCAAATAATATGAAACTCTAGTGACCAAATACTATAGCTATTTTACCTAGCAACATTTCTGATTCACATGCTACAGGCAAAACTACCTACTTCACAGTCAGCCTCCTTAGAGGCTCATGCTCCCTTTATGCCTTGTCTCAAACAGTAGATATAAAGTGTTTCTACTTATACCCCATGTAAGAGAAATTTCTGTCCATTTTCTGTGATATCTTGAGAGCTGTAATATTCACCTCCTTTTGGAGGAAAGGGAAATAACAGTTATTACTGGATATTATTGCCCAAGAAAACAGGAAAAAAGTGTGAGACAGGGTTGGAGCTAAGCAAGCAAGAAAAAAAGTCTCTGGTCAACCACCAATCCTATTGCCATCTTCAAAACCTTTTGCCAGAGGAGTTGATGCAGCTGTGTGGCATATTCAGAGGGATGCTAACACCAAAGACCCTGCCATAATCACCAAACTGACCACTCTATCAGAAACAACAAAAGCAAGAAAGTTTTCAAGAAGCCTACACCAACAAGTAAGAGTCCTCAGTGCAGCAAAACAAACTTATTTACTTAAAAAAAAATTAGAAGCGTTTCTATGATATATGTTATACTTTTATGCCATGTTGTAGGGATAAGAACAGCAGCAGCGTCTTGCTCCCTTTGCTCTCCAGGGAGGCCAACTGGTGTTAATTATAGTTAGGTACTTAGTGTTGACTTGACGGTCCATTTCAAACCAGCCCAGCATTATATGTGGTCCTCAACCACATAACATTCTGGAAATTGTTTTTCACTAGTTCTGTGATTGGATTACAACTATCTGAGAGCAGAAAATGAGGTTCAGGGAATCAAACGGAAGAGGCAAGACTTAAGCACTGTGTTATGGGGTCAGCAGATGTTGCACCTTGTGAAGAAACGGACTCAGTCTGGGGTGCAGAGTGAGACAACTTTATTTCCAAACCGACTTCTTTTTATACTTTCTTAACACAAGTGTTGCAAAGCGCACAACCAATCAGCATCTGGCCACCTGCGCGGTTGTCTGGCTTTGTTTCTTTTCTTCTGGCAAGACACGTCGCACACGAGGCAGGGGGAGGTGTTCCTCAGTCCTCGTCTTTCTCGGCTCTGTCCCCCATCTGCTGCAAAGACTGACACCCTTGTGGTTAACTATCTGCTAACAAGGTACTATTGTCTTTGAACAAGCCTCCACAAGCAGACCCTATCCCTCAGTGACAGGGCAGCCTGCTTCGTTAGTGGCAGAATTAACACTGTCCAGTTGCTTGCAGATTCACAGCCATCCCAAAACACTGTTACTGGAAAAGCCTCACTCTTCTTGGATGGCTTCCAACACAGCACTTTGCCCTTTCGGAAGGGTATTCACAGTTTCATGCTGCATCCCCAGCTCTATCCCACGTTCATACAGTTGCTGCTCAGCTGTTAGAGCAGTCAAACAAAGGGAATAAAGACTGGGCTTTTCCTCTTTTCCTCTTCTCCTCTTCCTAGCATCAACTTTCATAAAACCCTTTTAGAACATCATGTTGAAATCATTACCCTTCCACCAAGACTGACTGATACTGCTAAATGAGTCAGATGCATGAAAGCAGCAGATTAACAGAAAGACATAGACAGCACAAGCACAAACTCTGATCTCTCAGCAAACAAGGCTAACGAGGGTTGCTGTCCCGTATTATCAGCAACCAAAGAACTGTAAGAGGCATTTCTTCCACACATCAAGGAGCAAAAGTTCCATTTTCTTTAAACACTGATAATTTCTCAGGCTATGAAGTATAACAGGATGTTACACTGATATTTGCATGACATTCCCTGCAAGTTTGCTAAAGTGGACAACCAGTCTATCTCTTCCATAGACTGAACAGGATAGTAATTAAGAATGAGTATCCTCAAAGTAATTAGTGAGTAACTAGGTCAGACAATAACAAAGAATATGAACTTAGTGCGAATGAAAAAAAAACCTCTTCCAAACATCTAGCAAGACCCTGAAAGCTGGCCTTTTGGCAAAGAACATGTATGAACATGAGTCTCCTGATAGACTCTCAATGAGACAACTTTCTGATGACAAAACAACTTTCTGACGACTGAAGCCCAGAAGGTTGGGGCAGAATGAAAGACACTCCACCTACCATCTAAGAATCCATTTATACCTATTTTAACTCTAAGCCATAAATTCCCATCCCCTCTGCAGTTCCAGCAACTCAGTTGACAGACTGAGCCTAAATGTACTGCACAGATTACAAGACCTATTGAATAATACTCTGTAGACTCCTTCATTGCTTGACAAATACAATATTTCACTGTAAAAATGCAATCGAATGCTTCATAGGAAATGACAAGCCCCAAACCTCATTCTGATTTGCAAAGTAATTTTGTACCCTGACTGCTCTTGACCAAGATTTCTCAGCATCTCTGCAAAATGATTCTATGGACATGTTGTGAAATTTAGTGTTTGTAAAGAATAAATATTTCTGTGGCTCTAGAGAGCCAATTAACTTCTGAAGAAGACTTCTGATATTTGGTATTTGTGTTGTATGTGCACTAGGAAAAGGAGTTTTTGGTAGTTCTGTTAGGTACGCCTAGGCAGCTAATCACCCAATTTTAGGAAACAGTGCCAAAGAAAATGAAAGCAATCCGTTAATCATTTTATTAATCAAACTAATTTTTTAAAAATGTAGAAAACTCCAGTTATATGTGCAATAATTGACCTCAAAAGACAGTCAAAACAATGCATTGACCAATTATTTCTTATTTACAATTCATCAAAACACCTTGCAAGGACACAGAGGCTCTAAAAGTCTGAAGAGATCACCTTCTCCTTGCCCACCAGCATTTGAGAAATCTCTTCAAAGTCTGTATGAACTGATGGAACGTAAGAGAGGAAAGGGCAGGTGTGGGGAGGTATGGGCAAGAGCAATCACCGTTTTTCATACAGAAGCTGTTTCACAGGAAATACAGATATTCCAAACCAAGGCATCTTTTACCTACAGCTTATGATTTTTGTATCTTCTATGGTCTCAACACCATTTTGCACTGGATGCTTATATGGGATTTTCAGTAACAGAAGAACAGCCTCTTGAGGAATGAATAAGCCCATAACAAGCAAGCATTTATGAAGATCTTATTTGTGCCTCCTTTGGTCTGTAACCACATACCTGCATCTCTTTCTGAGCAGTAATTTGATGACTTTGGATTGCTTTGTACAGACAGTCCATTCAGGTTAGTGACGTTTAACTACTATCAGTTCTTACCACGGGTTTCATGTACAGCTTTTATGGATTCTTCTCCTCATGTTATTTGCAATGTACAAAATGGGGTACCAGAAATACCTATAGTAACTGTGCTAGTTAATAAGTCTGTGAAAAAAAAAGAAAGTTTCAGGACAAAGAACATGACAGTCCATAACAGAAATGGGCCGAAGCTTTCAGGACATTTGCTGTTTTAGATTTCAAGTTGTTATTTTGTGACCTCTACGGCCTAGAACCGTTTTTTTTTGTTTGTTTTTGTTTTTTGTTTTTTGTTTTTTTAAATAAACCCTTTTTTGACATTATATAGGAGAAAAACATGAACATACAGTCTTCTTCCTTCCTTATCTATAACGTTACGGAGTTACCTCCATCAAGGTTCTACATTACCTGGTAACCTCACCATGACATTTCTGTCTTCCTTCCCAGGCAACACAACAAGGATATCAGGTGCCAGTGCAGGCTCTCATTTAATTTAGTGGTATTTAGCTGGAGGGAATACCAAGGATAAGCTAGATGCAGTGCTAAAGAAAAAAAAAGACATGCCTTAAAGACAATATTCCTCCAGAAATACTTCAGATTATTTCGATCTTCTGTTCTAGTTTTGAAGAAACCGATGACATTTAAACCAATAGGAAATGTCTCTGGGACTTCTGTTCTCACTTGAAAGAATAAAGATGGATACACTGCTTCTCCTTGGCATCTTGTTTTGTGCCCCATGTCACAGGGAGATCTCTTCCAAACCTTCACCAGTATGGTCACCTGGTAGTGCTCCGTCACATCATGTCCAGCTGCAAACAGAAGCAACAAATTTATAAAAAAGGCACTAAATTCAGGTACTGTGTATTTAGCATTTAGAAACCAAAGTAAATTCAGAAATATTCATGATAAAATATAAATGGCCTGTACTTAATACTCATCTGCTATAAAGTACAGAATCAAAACTAAGCCTTGGAGACATTAAGAAATGGCTAATATATTTCTGAAAAATTCTCCTGAAATCATTGAATTCCAGCAAATTATGTATAGAGAAGGTTTAGAAGTCTAAGTTTCCCACACAAACAGCTCTTTTACATCTACAAACTTTGTTAAATATTATTATTTAAGTTATAACAACCTGATATGAAATGAGCAGCCTTACTGGATAATTGGAAAGATGCTAGAAAGCAGGATTAATTTATGCAAAAATCTGTTACCACAGAACCTAGTTTTTGCCCCCATTAAATGAGATATTTTGGTACATTTTATAATGGCAGCTTAGTAATTTTGCATGTCTCCTCTCTGACTTCAATTCTTGGTGTTTTCTAACAGGGTAGAGTTACAGGTACTGTAACCTACTGCTTTAAGAAGCTCTCACTCTCCATGCACCTTTCAGTTAAAATTTAGTTCTAAAGCCACAACATGTCTTTACAGCACTCACCAAATCATCAACGTCACCACCTTCATCTGTGGCAGGTGGAGTTTCCTTTTGCTTTTCTTTTGGGGCCAAGAACTAAAAACAAAAATGTATTTAAGTGATGCTAAAAAAACTCAGATCCTTAATGTTAAAAGTATGAATTTACTTTTAATATAGAAACTAACACATTGATGCTTAAAAAAGAAAGGAATTTCCAGTGACAATCTTAAAATGGCTGAGGTTAGAAGAAACCTCTGGATATGATCTAGTCCAAACCCCACTGCATATGAGCATTCTTATGTTTGCAAAAAGGTAATTTTAAAGGTATCATGTGTAACTAAAGCAAAAATAAAAAACACAAAACCTTCCCTATTGCTGAGACATGTGCAAGTCTCATACCTCTTCTCATACCAACCTCTTCTCTAGCAAAGATCTTTAGTATTACATTCTGTTTCTGTGTGGAATTCAGTACGCTTCTCATTTAGCTCAATTAACATTTAACAAATGAACAAAGACATGAACTTAAAAAAAAAAACCCTCAAACATGCAAGCTGGTTAGAATGGGAGTCTGTAAAAATAGAACAGTCATTATGCACAGTCCTAGTGCAGTAGCTGCTGATACAACTCACCATATGCCCTTCACTTAGTGTATGGCATCATAAACCAAAGGTAAAGCTAACCAGTGTAGATACTGTAATAACAGAAATAAAATACATAGACAATATCTGGAGTACAGTTACTTCTGAATTATTTTTGTCTCACCTTAAAATGGTGCAAAACCCAGTAATTTATCAATAATAGTAAAAAAAAAATTACAAACACCTGAATCAGTATATCGTCACTAGTAAAATTATAAATTAAAGCCATACTACGTGGCTTTTCAAGTTGTATTATTCCTAATTCAGAAACAATTTGGACATATCTCTGGATGATGAAAAAGAATATCTGATTAGAAAAAAAAAATCACTAAGTAATCTATAAACACCTGTTTAAAGCTTCAATAACAATTTTGTGCAAACACACCAGGCTTATAAAACTACTGTATACCTGAGGACTTCAATTACTACAGTCATGGAGTCACTGCAAAGATAATCTAGATAAATAAGATCCTGCTATCAGCAACACTAAATCTCCATGCAACCTTCCTCAAGGGATAGGTAAACAAGGGTAATAACCACTGATACAAACTGAAGAGAGAAAGTAGGGATTAGTATCCAGGGATCCCTGTAAGAGCATTATCCGTCTCTAAAACAATGGACTAAAAAGCTTAAATAATCTTATTGCTTTTGTAGCTGCAAAAAAAATGAGAAGGCAGCAAGGATGCAAGGAATTAGAATTTCAAGATGCCATATGTTTGTGTATCTTTTTCCTGGAAAAGATCTCAATCTAGTACTAATATGAAGCACATATTAGTGCAGTATTTTACGACTAAAAGCTAATGACATTGTCAGCTCTGAATGTCTTCTGTGCCAGAGCAAATTTCAATTTACACACTTAATTAAGAGTCAAATGGTATTTCTGAAAGCAGCATACTTTTTCTGGAGTCTTAAAAAATTAGCTTTCCCACACTAAATTAGCTAAAGAAAGCTAAAAGAAATTTAGGAAGATTTATTTACAATAAATTGAAAGTTGAAGTTTCTATCAACTGATAGAATTTGAAATTGCCTTAAAAATAAAAATCTGTTTTACATTTATGCAGAAGCAAATTACATATAATAGTTATGCTGAAACCCATTATCTTCCCTAAAGCAACCAGAAAAAGCTCTTGACAATTATACTCTTTTAACCTATCATCCTTAAGCTCCATAAGTAGCACCTCTGCTATTACAGGGGGGGAAAAAATGGATAAGACTTTGTTTCCTCAGTGATAAGTAGTGTGCATGGCTTAACCTTGTCCAATTAAAAATAAACCTTTGCATGTTACCTCTCTAATAGGCAACCTTGAAAGTCTTCAATGCTTCTTCAAAGATCAACCCTATAAACTTGAAATCTTGTACGATAATTCTATGCTATAATGTCTTTATGGCAAGTAGAGATTTCCTTAGGGAAGAAAGACTATTTCACACAGTGTAGGCACACTTTGGGCACCAAAAGTAGTTTCCATCTAGGCAACTAAGTTCTCAAGAAAAATTAACTTCTGAAGTTCCAAAATATATTCATACTCTTTGGAATATACAGTAAAATACTGATACTCTTTAAAATGGCTGCTAGGGAAACAATTACCCTATACAACTATGCATGATGAGAAACTTCCTTCACGTCTACCAAAAAAAGTCTGTTCCTTCAGCTGTACTCCGTGCGCGTCTTGAGCTGTTTGGAATCAGTTTTCATTTCACTGTATTCCTGCGCCTTCTTCAACTGCAGCTACATTGCCACAGGTGAAAATAAGTAGTTCCCAAAATACAACCTTTCACCCTCTTACTGTTTCACATGCAGAGAACCTACAGCATCTACTTTCTGATTAATGCTAATTTAGACCTGAAGTTGTAATGATTAATATGGCAGCCTTTAGAAAATATGCTTCTCTGCAAAGTACTTGGGGATTTCAGCTACAAGTTTAACTTGTGGTGTCTTTAATACAAAGACCTTCTTTCTCCTAAACTACTTAAAATCAGGACTAGCACCCCAATACAAGAGCATATGTAAAATCACCTCCACGCAAAACGAATACAAATACAGTTTTCAACAGCAGTGTACTTATTAAGTCTAAATTCTGCCTTCTTTGACGCAGAATGCACTATTTTGCCTGCACTGTGACATCCTTCATTCCTTACCAAAGATTTCAAGCATTATATTTCTGCATACCTGTAAACACCCCAAAACTTTTATTTCCAGAAGGATCTAGTATATTCACTAACAACAGCATAAATGTAGGATGGCTGTGAATTCACCAGAGCTGTATAACATGGAAGTTACTAATACTGCTGCATAAATGCAGAATAAATAAAAAATAAAGTCTCAGCTTTGTATTTCTGGATTGCATAGAACCTTCAGACAAAAAATTCTTGCTTTATGAACTCACCAGCAAGACCACAATTCTTTATCAAACACAAATAGTGATAGTGTTGCTGCATATACAGAGAGTCTACTGCCTTTCCACTAAACGCAGTTCCTTAGGCTGCTATTCTTTCTGGAATATATTTTCAGACAATACCACAATATGCTGCTTCTAAAGGCCAATTAAAGCAAAATGCTGTAGTACAACCTAGGGAATTTACTCCGAATCGGGGCCACTTCACTTTTGTTGGAAAACACTGTTCTTTCTTCATCTGGACCCTATTTCATTCATTTAAAGAATTATCCATATAAGAAATTGTTCCACAGCAAGTGCTTTACACAAAGAAATGCTCATTAAATATATATATATATACATATATATACCTTTTCAGCTTCTTCTCTAGTCACCAAACTTCCCTCTGCTTCATCTTTAGTGATCAAAGAAATTCTGTCTAAGAGGGGGGAAAAAAAAAAAAAAAAAGAAAGAAAGAAAACAAAATCATTATAAAGCTTCCCAAAAATCCACTACTGATAGAAAAGAAAAGAATCTTCTAAATTTCTACTTCTAAATGTGTCATCATCACTGGAAAAAAACTGCTCATAGGAAAACGTGACCTGCATAAATGAATCAACTATCATGATACAAAAATAAATTAATGAGAATATTCATAAGCTGGCGGAAATATCCATTTAGGAAACTGCTAACATTATGACAATCAAACTAATGAGACACTGAGATCATAGATCACAGATGAAATGCGTAAAATTTATCAGAAATCACACTTTTAGCAACTGCTGGCACGCTCTTCAGTGTTAAGTCACAGCAGAGAGGCCGGCACGCTGCCTCCCTGTGGTGTGGCCCCCAGACGCAGAGGTCTTGCCTTGTCTGTCCTACCAGTGCATTCAGCCTGTGCAGTGACCCTGCACAGCAGGGACAGGACACCTCCACTGCTTTTAACCCTAGATGTGTTCCCAGTCTACCTCATCCCTTCCTCCAAAAGACACTTGCACCTGCACAAGGAAGCGGTGACCACGAAAGGAAAGAACTTGAGGACCAGAAAGCTTTCAGCAGCAGGACAAGTTTGCACCAGCTTCACGTGCCCATAGAACTACATTGCAGGATTTCATGAAATTCCAACAACTTATGAAGCAGACCTGCTTTGCTCCTACTCCAAACGACACTTTTAATTGTTTCACTCTCATTTCTCATCTCTGGCGGGCTTGCTGACTGAAATGGCTCATGCAAGTCTGCTGCATATCACACTTGGCAGAGGAGAAGGGATGGGAAGGGATGTGGCCAGAACCAGGGAAAGCAGGATTCCAGCTTTGGGTAGCAGGAAGCCAAAAGTAGTATCTGCTACCCAGTGAGATCAAAACAGATTATGGATAAAGCATGATTTTATCTTCTTAGAAAAAGACAGTCTATCTGTTTTTTTTTTTTTTTTTTGGTATGAAAATTCTGCTTGTATTTGCGATTTTTTTTCAAAAATATTGTCCATTTTGTTAGAAACTTTGGCCTGTACCAACTGAAGTTATTAACAAAAAACATAATAGAATGGCTTGAAAAAATCTAGGTTTCCTATTCTTTTTCTTTCTCTCTGATTTCTTCACGGAAGGTCCTCTGCAATATAACAGAATATAGTACTCTCTGAGTGCTACCTTCCACTGTTTCTGTGGGCTGTTAAACAAATTCTGTATTTCTGAAACGGTTGAATAAAGCAGACACTAGGCAGCCCGGAGTCTTTCATTTTGAAATGTGCTATACAAAAGCATATGACTGCATTTTATAGCACATATCATAAAGAGATGCAGCTGATCATTTAACATTTTCCTAGCACTGGTTCCAATCAAAACTAGGAGTATGACGTAAAAGACTTTTTTTAGTGCATCATTTTTTCATTTGTACAAATGTTCCTTTATTTACCACTTGTGTAGTCTCTGAATGTCTCTTGGAATTGCACTGCCTGGTATCTCAGTTTAATCATAAGTAGGTGTCATAATACCACATATTCTGTTCTCCAGGTTGCTTAAATACAAAGTGATCAGTGACATGTTTCAATGCCATCCATGCCTTTTTTGAAGCTTAAAATGGAAGAGTCTTTTTATATCTCTGCTGCATGAGTTTTTCCATTTATTTTAAAATTCATCTGAAATCACATCTTCTCCTTACCCTGTAGCATTTAACTTGTCTCTCTTCTCACACTATTAATTTACCATTTCAACAAGACTTGGCATGGCATTATGAAATATTGCTGGAATGAAATCATCGGTGCAAAAAAAGATGCATGAAATCTCTTTTCTCTTTCACATTGCAAGTTGCAGGAATGAACTACACCAGAAATGCTGCGTTTAGGTTAAGTGTCCCACTGCTAAAATAAGTTTTCCTCTCACATCACAGACAATTAATAGAAAAATAAATTAAAAACAAAAAGTCATCATACCCTGCATCACTATCTCCCAGAAATCAGGTAAGACTTTATCTTCCACCTTTGACTTCAGGTCCTGCAGAAAATCATTAAAGCAGTGTACCTGGAACAGCTGAAAAAAATCCAACACAGCAGCAATGGTTACAGAGATACTGAAGTCACTTACTAAAGAGAGCTGCAAACTTAGCCATCTAGCAGGGTGAACACAAAAGACATGTCAAGATTTACCACTAGACTTTATCTCATGATTACATATTTAATTCTACTAAACCCAAGATTTCTAACGTAGGATGATTCACAGACTAAATAGCATTTCAGAAATTGCAGTCACTCTTGTGACTAGTTTTATTTAAGAAGAAATTTGGAAAACAGCACACTTTTCTACAAGCATTGGATCACAGGTTCTGTGTTTTCATGTTTAAAAGAAAACGAACAGCAATCAATAGAACAGAGAAACTAGTCCCTGTTCCAGAAGGGATAAAAAAATAAAAGTACAAGTGGTATTTCTAAACTTTCAAATAGCAGAATGCACTTCAATCTATGAATCATTTCTTCTTGCTATAGCAATAATGTGTCAAGCTTTTCATATAGCAAATAGTTCCACCATACCTTTAATTTGACAAAAATCAGACTTTTCACATATCATCATTACCTTTATAGCTTCTTCTCTAAAAACTTTGATACAATTGATGCCTTTCATGTAGTACTGCAAACCTCTATTTTCCAAAAACTGATCAATACGGTTTATCAGCTGTTGACTCACTGAAAATAAATAAATAAATATCAAAGAATGCACATTTTCAAAGTAAGAAACCCTTTTTCCTTTAGCTGTCTCTTATTATTCTACCCAATCTTGACTGGCACAAACAGAGTTCATCATACCCATACCTCCTCAAGCTACTCCACTCAATAAGTGGCATCTAAACTAGTAAAGATTACTGGTGATCTATAAAAATCACAAGCATCACGAAAAAGACAATAGTTCATTGCCTCTCCCCAAACAAGGGCGAGGAGGTAGGTTAAGAACAACCAGGAGCACCTCTCCAACAGTGAGGCAGCCTGTAAACTCTTTACCACGGGTTGCAGCAAGACAGTCAAGGTTTCAATGGCTTCAAAAATGATTGAACAATTTATTGGAAGAGGTAATCTATTACTGGATATTAAACACAAAGACATATCGCCATTCAGGGAGGAAGAGGAGGAAAGCCTTCTGCACGGGCAACAGCTCCTGCCTGCTCTTACTCTTGACAGCCAGTGCTCAAGACGGGTTATTGGATTGGAAAGATCTTTATTCTCATCTGCAGCCATTCTTACGTTCATCTGCCACGTGCATGGATGTCACTACAACTGTTTCAGCTATGGAAACATCATGACAGAAAAATTAGGGACTAATGGAAAGACACGTAAATGCACTAAGAAGCACACACCATTCAAAGACTTTATTCCACTCTGCAGACCATAAGTATATAGAGATCTAGCCTTTAGGGGAATGTTCCAAAATGTGCTTAACAGAACTGGGTCTGAAGAACAATATTTCTGGAAAAGACAGTAAACCACACTGTGTTTGATGGTCTCCCACAGGCTGCTGATCTTAGTGATCTAGAGAAGGAGGTGGACAGTGACTCTGTCCAACAGCCACTCTAAGACAGCAAAATGAGCCCAAGTGCTCCCTGTTCCACAGGTGATCAACTCCATTTATTTACCAGAAGCTGACAAACTAAATTGAAATCTCACTACTTAAGCTACACAAGTTAAGCCAGTCCATTTTTTTCATGCTTAATGATTTTCTCATTAAAAGTTCTAATTTCTTACGAATTGCACTAATAAAAGCAAGTCCTGCTGGTGTTTCTGGTGGTGGAGGTGGTATTTTGTATGCTGCCTTTTCATTGATGTGTTAAATTAAAACCCCAGGCATTAAGAGGGTATAATAAAAGTCTTCTTTGTCAGAATGATTCCAACATACTGTTTGGAATTATCACGTAGTTTACTTATTCTTCTGTATTTTTTTTTTTAAATTCTCTGTCTGTTTGGTTGCACTGGTAGCCATCAGAACAGAACTGTGTTAGCTACAGAAAGATCTGCCCCTTTTTGAAATCTACTGCGAGAGTCCTGCACACCATTTTCAGCAGAACATCCAGGAAATCTTAATCTCTCCTGCATCCTTTTACTGGAGCCAATGGTTAGATCATGCACTGAGTGCTTATAGACTAGGAAATGACAAGTAAAAATATTAGTCTACGAGAAGATCTATTAATTCTAACATAAGGCTAACCTCTTCCCACTGGAATTGTGGAACATTCCCTATCCTACAATATATTAACTACTGCTGTTATTTTTTGTGAAATATGCCACTGACAATTACATTTGCTTGTTATCTACGTACAAGCAAACGTTAGTTTTTCTAGTGTAGTTACACTTTCATGTTTGCTTGGTTGCTCTTGATCACCATGCCTAATATCTAATCTAAATTTCATTTTGCCTCTCACCCTATTGCCCTTCTAAGAGAAATCTGGCTTCATCTCGTCTGTGAAGCAGACATACAGAAAACTTCAAAGGGGTTTTATACCTAAGTATCTGAGTTGCAAATATTCCTCTAATGATTGGATCATTTTCAAACCCTTCACTGAATTCAGCCTACCTAGCGGCAGAATACAAACAGTATCTGATATAGAAAAAGACATTCAATAAGATAAAAATGCTGATGACCTGCAAAGACACAAGCCAATAATAAATTCAGTTAAATTCAGTGAAAGTAAATATTAGTTAGAAAACAACAACAACCAAAAAAGCACAACACTGTTCTAGAAAGGTAGAAAATTACACCACTTTCTACAGAAAGACCCAGCAATAAAATATGATCCCTGCTGCAACCTCCTCATAAATTTCTAGCGCAGATCTGTCATATGCAATTCCCTTATGCATATGAAGCATCCAGTACAAAGCAACATTATACATTTCATTCAAGAAGTGATTTACATGCCGTGGCAGGAGTGTGACACCTCAGGCAAGCCAGAATATTTGCTGAAATCTACATATGAATCATTGACCAACTTTACTTTTCTGAAAATGTGCAGGAATAAATAAATAAATAAACAAAATAAAGACAACACTGCTACTGACATAAAAACAAACAAACAACAAACAAACAAACAACAAAGAAAAGGGAAGCTTGCACTACTTGTCTCTGGACATTTTTCCTAATGCCCATAGACTGTACAGTTGTCACTGCACATTTGCCTCTTCACAGATAATCAGCAAAATAAAAAAGAAAAATCTTTTGACCACAGGACTTCAGACATCATGTTCCCTAATAGCAACACTTTAAGATGCAATGAAATCTGTCCAAGAAACTTGCACAAAAACTCTCAAACTGAGGGAAATACCATGTGCATGTTGGTATCTTTTTTTTCCCCCTTCAGTAAGCCATCCTAATTTCCACAAATCCTGTGAAGATTCAGCAGGCAGCAGCAGACACCTGCTCGCCAGCAGCGCAGAGATGAGCAGTAACTTGTAAAGCTTTGCAACAGGATGACACGGTAGGTGCGTGGCTACTCCTTTGGCATTACAAAGATGGCAAGCACTCACCACGTTTCTGTCTTCTCTGCAGCTGTAGCAATAAGGAAACTCGTTATCTGCCCCGGGACTAAAGATTAGATTCTACTCAGGCAGACAAATCCATCTTATTTGCATTCATTGACAAAAATGTCAGAAGTCGTTATTAGAGGACTCCTTTTTGTGATGACTATGCACTTGTAACCTACTCAAAACAAGACCTGCATAAAATGACTTCTCCGTGGCCATGAATACGAACAGGAGCGTAAAGATATCTGCAGGGGAACCACTATACCAGTTTAATCAGCAATAAACATCAATGAGCAATTTGGCACCCTAGCACATCACGTAAGCTGTACTTGGGCCCCTACAGTAATGAACCACATGGATGTCAATTAAAAGTGAAGCTGATTTCAGGAGCTGGGCTGCTAGTCTCAGAAAACCTTTCACTAAGACCTCTACCAATGTGATTTTTTTTATATTTTCAAAAGACTATTAACACATCAGTGACCAGATTCTCCCTAATGGAGGACTTGCTGTTTCTCCTGCTCTGGGGCTCAGTGCTCAGACAGGGGCTGCGTAACCTGCACTTCTGTTTGCTCTATCAATGGCACAAAGGCACAACCTTAACCATCAAAATCCCTGGGAAAGCACTGCAGGGGATGCACCGATACCTCCTTTAGGGCAATAAATATCCTCTTAGGAGTGCAAAAGCTTTTCTCTTTTCCCCTTGCCCTAATTTGGGTTTGGTTATGGCAAAATGCCAAAGCTATTTTGTTGTGGAAGGAGCTGTGCACTGAAGAAGCTAAGTGCTACCCTTCATTAGAAAGCCGTGGTATTGTCAGCCCCATAAGTGCTGCTCTTTCCATCATTACAACAAAAAGGCTCAAAATAATAATAATAATAAAGTAGACAACAAATGTCAAACTTCAATCCATTTTTTTTCCTACAAAAAATAGGACAGAAAAAGGTTTTTCCTCCAAATCTTGAAAATGTTTTCCTCAATCTCCAAACTTCACTGTTTTCCTCTGTTTCATAAGGGAATTAGCTGTTTTACAGAAAAGCAAGGAAGGAGCCTTGCCCTTCTGTAATTTTTTTTTTTTTTTGGCGGGGGGGGAAGGGATTGTAATGAAAACGTAGACTATTTTCTAAAGGAAAAAGCAAAAAGGGCAAAAACTCATTTTTCTCATAGGTGCACCCTGAAATGTAATTTTATTCAAATACACTGTTTGAACGTCAGATTATCCTTTTCTGCAAAAAGATTTTAATTTTTCAGCAAGGAAAAATGTTTCCTCATCAAATATGATGTAAAATTATATTTAAAAAATCCTTAGATCCACTGAAGAGTTTTAAAGCAGAATCTACCATTTACATAACCAGAAAGCAATACAGTAAGCCAATAAAAACATGCCTGTAATGTTTTATGCATTAAGCTACTTAAAAGATTCTAAAGCAGAAAAAGGAATAAGCAATAAGAAAAAAAAATATGCAGAGCATGTTTTTATTTATAGTGGCTTCTATCTCTCTCTCAAATGGGCAACTGCACTGTGTTTTGGTAACCACATCTTATAATACCAAAACACATAATATACTAAATAAAAGCAGATTTCTGCAAGTGTAGTCATCTCCAGAACAGCTATCAAGTTGACATATTTAAACACTCTATTTATATGATCTTCAGTGTAACTAGTGTTCTTATTTGTGCCTTAAAGATTTCTCACACAATACAATTAATCATAAAGTAGTCACTTGTTCAGAGTTTCTGTACTCTAGTATCTTGTATGCTTTTTATTGCATTTTAATATAGCTGATATTTGAGAATTCCAAATATCTTTTTCTAATAAACAGAATTTCTTCCAGATGAAATGAAAGAAGTATGAAAAGTTGGCACAGTACCTTATAGTTCTGGAAATTCTGAGGAAATAGCCAATTCACACCTCAGCACTTACTTCCAATTATACCAAAAAGGAGCACAGGTCAAGGCTAAATGACCACCACTTCTCCCTTAAGTGTATCTGAACTTTTTTCCTTGAAAATTAATGCTATATTATTGTCTATCAAGTAGATAAGGTGTACAGTACTACAATTTTAAAACCAACATTTGAAAGGAGAGAGGGATGGCTAAATCAGCCCATACATCCTGGGCATTGCTTATAAGATATCTTTGGATTACATTACATATATCTTTATATAGCAAATCCAGTACAGAAATATGATGCAAAAAGTGAATTTGCATTTTCAGGCTTAGAGCACGCGCAGCTGCTGAGGCAGTAGCTGATCTGTGGGCTGTCCTCTTTCTCAGGGCTGCAACAGAACTCCATCCTGCACGCCGGATTCTCCTACCTCCTAACAGCCACAAGCTACCTGCTTATCACACTCTTACTACATCTTTCTCCTCAGTTCAGTCACCCTTCCCCTTGCTGATGGAAAGACAGGAATGATCTTTGCATGAAAGTATTTAAACCCCAGCCTGTAAATTCTTATTTTTCCAAAGAACAGGGAAAACAGACAGCAGAGAACAACTTTCTTGTGCAATGCCCGGCCAAGGGACCTCCACTGCAAGGAAGAAAGATCACATATATCTTGAGGACAAGTCCATATACAGTCCAAATGCGGCAACCAGTTAGTGCCAAAGGGATGATCTATTGCAAAAACCTGAGCAGTTATTCAGATGCCTCAAAAACAACAGCATCTGACACTTTCTCATAGGAAAGGCAAAATGCAGCATGGAATTATGAGCAACCTCCTTCTTTGTTGAGTGGCATTGGAAGCTGCGCAGTATCCTCGGGATCCTCTCAGCACTAGCCACCCATGTTTAGACAAATGGACCTCATTACGAACAGTGAAGGTGCAACTAAAAATAATTAGGACAGATAAAAGACATTTACCTTGCTTGAAGTCAGCATTCCTCTGCCTCACCAGAATTTGGAAATCTTTTGCTGGATTAACACTTCCAACCTAAAGGGGGTCCAAAAATCTCAGAATTATTTGCCAATATCCATCTCTCTCTTCTAGTGAGGTAACAGGAATCTTTACATATTTGTTTTCCCATTAAAAAAAAAAAAACACTACAGAAGTGCTACCCCTCTTTGGATGCAGATTCACAAAACACACGTCAAGATAAAGATATGTGTGTGATTTAGAACCACAACCAATGCAGAGAACAGGCTCTGAAATCAACACCTGTTAAAATTGAATATAGGGAGGTAACTTCTGTTTTAGAGAATACAAAATGAAAATCAAATTCTACCACTGAATCCCTAATTTGAGATTCTGTTTTCTTTGGACACACAGATTTCAGAGTTTCATGCACCTGGGGAGATCTTTGTCCTAAAACGACGTGGGACTGATGTAAACCTGCGCTAACACATACCTAAAAAAGCAAAGTTCTCCTAACATGTCTGCTTGTAGAACTTTGAGACTGCCTGCTACCAATCGAGTCATGTTTCCACTAGAACCTTCCCTTTATCATGAATTGTGTATATACAATAAACTACTTTCTCAGAAATAAATCTTTCTCTTCAAAAAAAATGATTTGTAAAAATATGCTTACAGAGGTGACATTGCCTTCAGCAATGCTTACGATGCTAAATCCACCTTCCTCATCCTCAACTTTTAGCTTCTTGGGGCTTGGTCCATCTTCTTTGCTGCAAATCAGAAGGTCATAAATTAAGTACAAGCAATTAATTCAAAGAAAATTACCATGGATCCTAGGTAGGGAGTAGGTCAACTTGTGAAATATATACTGTAAAAGGGACATTGGACAAAAAATTAATCATGCAGTTGTCCCCACATTAACAATAAACCATTTAGAATTCTCATCAGATTCATTTTAAACATGAAGCAGTAATGAAAATTTAATTTTTAAGTAAAAAAACTAATTTACTCTTTAAAAATTGCTAGCCCCAGTCTTGGAATTGAGAGCTAACACGTATCTGTTTGCACAGTGCAACTCTACTAACCCATATTCTCCATGAGCTTTACAAACTTCCACCTGGAGCAGCCAAAACATGATAGAAAAATGCCACTTCAGTATGCAAGTTCTCCCTCAGAAAAAAATCTTAAACTACAGCTAGAAATGCTTTCAAAAGACTACTTTTAATTTTTAGAAAGGTGAGTGTTGCTTAGGATACCTCTTAGTTTTGTCTTTACAATATACATCTAGCTGCAGATGCAAACTGAGAACCTAACTGCTCTACCCAACACACCAAACTTTAGAGCATGTCTTGGCAATGGGAGGGGAAAAGAAAGAAAGAATGACAGAAAAAAGGCAGCTAATCACAGCAGAGGAAGAAAGTCAAAGACTGTTCTGGGGTGCTGAACGTGATGGGCTGGCACCGAAGAATCCATTTCACCCTAAGAATGACTGAAAGCTACTGAGTGACCTAAACTACAGTATTTGTAAACTAGTGTTTACAGAAATTTAGAACAGAATAAAAGATTACTCTTAAAAATCCTGCTTCTGCAGTGAAGGCAAGCAAATGCAAGCAGGGACAAAAAGACATTTTGGATGAGGCCCTGTTTTCTCTATTTCAGGGTTGAAACCAAATAAAAAATGTAAAGCTTGTTACAGATGAACTATTGGAAAGAAATTGTATTTCCTTTTGTGCTACAAGAAATTGTATTTCTTTTTACTTTCTATAGCTTACTCATCCCCTCCTTTAGGCACAATGTCTCTCCCACTTCATTTCAGTGGTCACCCTTGTTCTTCTACTTCGTTTTGTCACTACTGAGATGAAACCTCTTCTCAGCAACTCCTGTCATCTGAGATGACATTACTTATCACTGCAGGAGAAAGGAAGACTTTGGTTATATCTCAGGACAAGGATAGGATCTCTTGTCTCACTCCCAGCTCTGCTGACTTTCTGGCTGACCTAGGGCACATTGCTCAGTTGTTCTGGACAGCATATATCCTTGCCTGAAAAATGGAGAAACTGATACTTATCCAAAACCAGAGGAGTTAAAACTTCTGCTTTTAATATAAGCCATGTGTGTGTTGACATAGTTTGATGAAAGGCACCATGAATATCAAAATTCTTCTCTTTAAAAGTTGATTTGCAATTTCCTGCATTATCTTGACTTTTTTTTCTTCTTGCATTACTTTTACTGATTCACAATGTTTTGCAATTGGCTAAAAAAGGGAAATAATGCATTTAACTGTCTAGGACCAAATCCGCAGCCACCATTAATCCGTGCATTACAGCAGAAACTGATGAATTCGTACCCCTTTACACCAGGCAGGTGCTGACATTTAGAGTTGCTTATGGAAATGTACTGATGTAATGCACTCATTTCCAATATTTTTAAAGTGTGAAATGTACAACTACTATTCGAGAAAAAACTACTCAAACATACATATATAAGATTAATTTAATAAATCCATTTCTATATAGAAGCTTCTCACATACCAAAAAACTTGAGGTGTTAACAACCTCTCTTAGGCAATACTGGGGAGAAAAAAAGTAAAATGCTTTCCGCTTTACTGCAGCTTCTTGTTTTGTTTTCTACTACACACTGCATAGTAAAAGTGAAGTAAACAGATATTGAATATTCAAACCTACAAAGATATCATGTGTGCAGTTATGCTGCCTTAGTCCCATTAGATCTTAAACATTAAGCAGAAATGAATCAGGTCAGTATCATGATGGGAGACATTAAATGAATGAGACAGAAACAGTAACAAATTAATTTTAAGAAAACAGTCAAGAAAGCTTCTAGTTAGCTTTTTCAAAACACAGTAGTGCAAATTATCTAGATCTGATACTTTTAACAAGTTGAACGTTATCTGCTATTACTACTTAGTTACTGTTTTTGTGATGTTTTTTTTGTCATCAAATTACTTATCTGCCTCACTCAGCTTTCCACAAACACAAGGCAGAAATACAGCTAATAGTTCTGTTGTAGTGCTGACAATGCTACTATTTTCATGCATTTCTACACCAAAACCAGATTACATCCATTTATATTTTTTCAATCCTACTACCACTTACTTTTCTTTGCACAGTTCAATCTTCGTACCCTTTCACCTAAAATCTCTCTGATTTTTTTTCCCAAACTATCCGAATGCTCCATACCACTTTCTAGTTCGAACATTTTTTCTCATTGTTTCTGTTTCCCCTCAAAAGAAAGTGATTTTTTAATCAAAAATAGTCTTTCACATTTAAACTCCTGGGGTAAGGTGTTTTTAAGCAACTACCAATAATATATCAGGCTTTTTTGTTCATTTGTTTACATTTAATCCTTAGCTTGTTTGACCCAAAATTCTAGTGATTTCTTAAACTGGTCCTATAATAACATCATTTTTCTAAAAATATACATGCTCCCAAAAAGCAGATACACTGACACACACATGGAGCAACTGGGGCACAGAAGAAGGACAGGAGGATTTAATCAGTAGGAATTCACAGACACAAGACAAGCCAGGCACCCTGCAGTGAAAAACATAAAGACTGGGTACCTCTTACTCTGCTTACAGAAAAATACTTTTTTTTCTGTAATTCAACCAGTATCTCAAAGCAGCAGCATGAGAAGTCCTAACTCAGGTCTTCCCAAAGACAACTTGCTGAGGAGGCTCTAGTCAACCAAAGCAAAGGATTAAGACAGCTCAGTTCAGTGGGGCCAAAGACATCGGGCCAGAGGGGACAAAAGGAAAGCAGGAGTTAACTCAGGACTCTGCAACACTCCAAGGAACCAACTAGCTCTGTTATAGTTATCCAAGAAATTAAGTGCTAAGAAGCAGAATTCACTTGAGCAAAAATTGCCTGAGCAACTTTGCTGGGGAGCAGAATGCAGTACCAACTAAGCATTTCACATCTGCAGCAGAAATAATGTAAATACAGCGTACATAATAAAAGCAAAGATTTTTTAACTTAAAAGTGTTGAGAGAATGGATAATCTAGGAAGAGTCCATAACAGCTCGTTTTTTTTCCCAAGACATACACATTATTGCATAATACATAATATTCTGTAAATGAAGATGCTTTTCTTCTGACTTGGCATTCAAAACAAAAGCTACAGAACAACCAAAATAGAGCATGCTGAGACGGAAGACTCATCTTTACAGCCACTTTAAAGCTTCACAGTATTTATTCTAAACTGAATGAGATTCTTTTGTTATTCAAATTATTTTATAGCTAGCAGGAGAACAAACTTTCTAACCATCAGGCAGTCGAGCATTGCCACAGTTAGCATGAAAGTTCTGCAGTCTCCATCCTTGGATGATTTTAAGAGCAGACTGGATAAAGCCCCACGTTACCTACTTAGATCTCATAGCTGGCTCTGCTTTAAGCAGCAGCTGAACAAAAGACCTCCCAGGGGCTGCTCCATTCTGAAGAATTCTGTGCATAGCAGTATAACCTGCTCCACAGCGACTGGAAGACTGTTCACAGCACCCTAAACTGCGGTACCACAACTGCACTTTTTCAGAATGTAACTCACTGATTTTATGTTCAAAAGATTCTGAGTCTTCAACTCACTTGTCCTTGAAGATGTCTTGAGCTGTCTTGTCTTCTTTCTTCTTGCCAACATCCTTTAGGGGGAAGAGTGCTTTGATTTTTTCAAGAGGAACCTGGCATCTTTCTTTTACCACACAGGGAGTCTCCAGCATCTCCAGCAGGTGCGGTTCAATCGGTGGCAACGGCTTATCAGGGTAAAAAGCCTTATGCTGCAAACACTGTATGAAATAGGTTAAGCAAAGAGAGACTTTTAAGTTATATGCTTTTAATATAATATGCCTGTGTATCTGACTTCATGTGCTTTATTAAATGTGTCTTCCGTTCTAAAGGAGAGGCTATGTTCAAATTGCTGAAATATTCCAGGTCTCAAATGGATTGAAAGTCATATGGTCGGCTGCTTAAGGAGATTAATAAAGATATTAAACAAGAAGACAGATTAAAAATAGCTACACCTGCACTCACTGTAACAAGCTCTAAAGTAAATTATGGAATTCCAGAGGAATGAAGGAGTTGTTCCCAAGTATGCAGCTTTTTAACTTCATTTTACCTTTAAAATATAGTCCTTTTACATAATACAGTCACATAGTGGAGACTTCTAGGAATTCCACAGTTAGTCAACAAGATACATATTCAACTTTGTATTCCAGCTGTTGAACAGTTTATTCTTTTCAAAGAAAACATTTCTTTTTCATCAATAAAATTCAGTGTGCATAACAAAAGAATTTAGGAGCAAATGCCGAGAGAGAAATTAAATGTGCACCGGTGAGGCACAGAATATAGGTATGTTTGCAGATGAGCTTTGAAAAGAATGAGGGACTGACAGATGTGCAGGAAAGCCGAAACAGATGGCAGGTGCTACACAGGAGAAGGCTCTTTCACCAAGGTGCAAGTGCACATAGGCAGGAGCCGAGCAGAGGAAGAATGAGCAGGTTAATGAGGCTGGCTACAGAAATTCCAATGGGAGTTTTGCATACAAAGGAGGTACCTCGTAAATGCTGTGAAGTATGGAATAGCAGTGGATATGGGTATCCATGCACATGTTAGACCCGCACTATGCACATGTGTATACATTATTTATACATCACAGTCAAATGCAGACACACATGCAGTAGGCGGGAGAATATTTTTTCCAAGTCCCCTGTACCACATGGATCAGACAGTATGGATGAAACTATTCAGTACACCAGAAAAACAGGCTAGATCTGCTCCCCCGATGGTGGTCAGACATGACCTTAATTTAAAAAAAAAAAAAAAAAAAAAAAGGCAAACAAAAAATTCTATCCATGCTGAAGAGCTGCCAATAAAGAAAATGCAGACCATATGCTACACATCAATACTGATGTGCTTTCATGCTGCCATTAAGATTCCAATCCATATTAGCACATACTTTCAAAAGGAGGCAGTCACACAAGGCTACTGATTTGTAAACACTTGTAATGATTTAAAGCATAATTACTATGAAAGAAAGTAAAAATGTTTCTAGGAGCTGCAGTAATGGCTCTTGCGATACAGGAATAAAAAATATTTAAACAGCATTAGGGAACTGATTTAAACCCACGAAGAAAAACAAAAAAGAAAAAAAACAAGTCCTTCACTGTGACTGCAATTTTAAGGCTTTTGTATCTAAAGTCCCCACGTAAGTAGCTGCAATAGTTGGGCAGAATGAAAAGCAGCCACAGCCTCCACTTATTCCATTTTTCAGAGTAGAAGATGACTTCTGAAACCTGAAGCAGGAAACAAACAGCAACTTCAGACTTTATCTTAAATTTTAACCCCAGTCAGTCTCTTTTAACCTTGCTTTCTTTTTCTTCCAGCACGAAGCTCTCCCACCTTCACTAGACAGCAAGACAGTGAAGCAAGACAGTAATGAGCAACAGAATAAATGCCCGAATAGACAGGAATTAACTGCAAAAAGGTATCTGCCTCATTCTCTTCCATAGAGCACCTAGGAACATACTTTTTGAAAAACATATCCCAGCAGTTCTGTACAGTCTACAGGAATGGCCTAGTACTAAAAGCTGCAGAACATGAGTTATAATATACAGGTGTCAAAATTAAGTAATTAGTCTAAAGCAGTTATACATCCACAATCATAACTGTTTCATTTGTGACGTCGAAGGTAAGCAGGATGATTCATTTTCCAAGGTTCCCTTTTCGTGGATTATGGGATGTGCTTAAACACCTCAGTTTACACTGTTTGCTAGCTGCTGGGTGGTTAAACATGCCTGACCTCAATCTCACCACAAGCGCCTTAGTGTTCAGAGCGTTTGTGACTACTTTGGAATGACCTTCCAACAGATCCGCTGCATCCAGCAGAAAATGAGATTGTGTGATGTTCAAAAGTTGATGCAAGCCACCTCCTGTCCCTCTCCGCCCTGCCTGTAGAAAACACATGCCATCATCCCTGAACAGTCCAGCTACTTACAAACAAGCTCAGTCCTCGAGGATCATTTTCATAGGCCTAGCAACAGCCATTGCAGCATATTTAGATGGGTTTTCTGCAGCTGGATCCCATGAATTATGCAGTGCTGCTGGCCACCTTCACCCCAGATCTACCCCTCAGGTCTGTTTCAGTACAGAACAGTCAGTGTTGAGCAATTTATTTGTCTGGACATCAAATAAAATGCATGACATTCCATTCCCAAATGTCCTGTACACTTCACATTCCTGTACTGAACAGAATTGACCTTAACACTGAGGTTGGAAGTTTGGAACTAGGAAAATCACAGAAGTTAGACCAGGTTTTTCTGGAAGCAAGGGAAGAGAGAGAAAAAAAAAAATGCAGCTGAAGCTGTGGATACAGGATATTCCCCATTTCCCACCCAGTAAGCACTAGCAACTTCCACCATCCACTCCACCAAATCAATTTACTGGCTACACTGGAAACATAATTTAAAGTTTGTCTTTGGATCACCTAAGAAATAGGCAGAGCTACTTATTTTTTTTAAAAAAACAGAAGTACTTTAATATGAAGGCTGTATAAAAGGCTGTAAGTAGTAGAGACAGATCTGCATACTACTTAATATATTTAAATAATAAATAAATACATCCAACAGTAGCATTCACCCTTAAAAGTCCTATTATTCTCCAGGAAAACTATCAAGATAAGTAGTTACTCTCTTGTAGCAGCACTTGACTCAACTGTTGGGACAACACCAGGAAAGAAAAGGCACATTGTATCTAGAATTTCTAAATTATGTTGCTATCTCCTATGTGTTTCATTTATAAGTAAAAACCGTATTTGCTTCCTAATACCCAAGCTCTATAGTTCTTCCTAAAATACAAGTTGTCAATCCATTTTAAGCTCTTCTCCAGCAAAATCTTCTGGTGACCAAGTCCTGCATTCGGGTTACACACTGTCTTGTCAATATGACTGGCAGAATTTAAAGGGAACATTTAGTACTTCAGGAGTCAGTCAGAGTAGGCTCTGAAGACTCTGGGCTTACTGTGTTCCTGAAACCAAAATTTGACCTGCAAATTTGCTGTTTCTGATAATGTAAAAAAGAAAAAAAAAAAGAGACAGTTGATTTCTGGAAACCAAAATGATCTTTCTTAATTTAAAACCATTTTATCTGTAGAGTGAAAAAAATGGAATTGTTGAGACTTTATAAACATAAATCCTATGCCATTTTTGGTCAATTTTAGAGTGTAATTACATGCTCAATTCTCTCCATGGCATTGTATACAACACAGTTCTGCAGCTGCAGAAATTGCATTGCAATTGTCTTTATTTTTGAATTTGCTGTGTCATTTTTTTGAACACTTGAATTCCAATGCATAATCAGTCTCTCAGTCTCAGAATGCAAAGAAAAACTTTATAATGTAAAAAGAACACAAACTTAAATGCAGACAGTATAAATGCAAGAAGTGTGAACTGTCCCATTTGCCTGTAAAATGTGTCAACTCAGACATATAAATGGAATATGATAACCACTTATTAACCACTTATTTCCAATCAGTTTTACCCTAGACCAATCTGTTTTGGAACCACTGCTAGATGCAGTGACAAATAGAGAAGTGACTGTGCTCAAGAGTTCCTGGGACACAGAACAAGAACCTTGATTTTTCCCAAGTTTCAGTCAATTTCTCTCTTTGCCTAGAAGCTGAAGGCTGTGTCTGTATCTGCATCATGGTCATTGCAACACAATTTTAAGATGCCCCAACAAGTTCTCACTTCCGTGTGCCAGTGAATTTCAAGGATGCTGTGGAGGACATTTCAGCACAGGTGAGATGGTGTGATTTTTTTCTTGCTTCTTGGAAGACGGAAATGTTAAGAATAAAACATACGTCAGGAACAACACAGAAACCAGTGGCTGCACAACACTTACATAGAAAGAATTTAACATTATATTCTTCACAGAGTTTAACATGATATTCTTCACAATTATCATTTCAATGATAATTGGAGAAGGAGATAGAAAGATGAAGTGTTTTAATGAAAGAGACATTTTTAAAATACACCATATAGCCCATCATCTCACCTGGTACAATCTCTGAAAATGAGGGTTTGGGATTTTGCTGGGCTTAAAGAGGTCCTCAAAACTTTCTCCATCTTCATCTTCATAAACTAAATTCATAGAATCAATCAGCGAGTCAACTGCAGATAGTTGATCCTCTGAGACAACAGAAATTAAAAACATTTGTAGATGGTTGTGTTTCTTTTGAAACAATTTACAAATGAAGATTGATTTCAGAACGGGAGATTTTAACAAAGGCAATAAATGCCAAGGCAGTTAAAGACATGCTGACAACAAATAAGGATAATGGGCACAGTAATAAAAAGCTTGCTTTTTTTTTAAGAACTATCGTCTAAAGTTATGAGGCCTTTGGGGTGTTTTTTTAATTTTTTTTTTGAAGCCCTCAGTTCTTGCTTCCATTTTTCTTCTTTTTAAGATGTTTATATTTGCAACAGAAGGTTTATAAATCTCTTGGAATATAAGGAAAACTGATTTGAAAAACTAAATACAACTTAAAGCTATGATTGTAAATTAACTCAGTTCATGATAGTCGAGTACTGCTTTGCTAAGACAGGCTGTTAGTTTTTTTTCAAAAATTCCTGGTTATGGACAAGAAACCAGGCTTAGAAATACCTCATCATTCTGGCTAGCATACACCCATTCAATGGATCATCCTACGACAAATTAAAGAAGTTCCAATGAATTTCAAACCACACCTCTTTATGCTTATTGCTGTGAAAAGAACCTTAGAACAGCGAGTCTAGCTTGTGAGCCTGCATGTCTCTCCAGATGCCCCCACATGAATCTAGGCAGTTCGTGCCTTAAAAAACAAACCATCAAAATAAACCTCTTGCAGACAAGATATTGCACAGCCTTCACCTTTTGGTGTTACATCAACAACACACACTCCAAGCAGCTGCTGGATCAGCTTTGCAGGAATTAAGCTGATGCCTCTGTTCTGGATAGTTAAGTACATACTGTAGAACCCATCATAAGGCACAGCCAGTTAGCCGTACAAACGCATTCAAAGATCAAAGATGTTAGATCTCTACCAGAGAGATCTTGTGAGACTAATAATCACATAACCCAAGCCAGGATTCATTAAATGAGATAGTTGTAAAACACTGCCTGCAAAAGTGAAACTGCAAAACTACAGTTTTGAAACCAGCTTTACACTTCAAAATGACATCACTTTACCATATTTGCTAAGGGCTGTTTTTTGGGGGGTTTTTTTAAGTCAAAATAACCACAAAACTTGTGTTTTCATTAGAAAGTCAAATATTCTAACTATTTTACACCATCTTCAAGAAAAAGCAGTAGGTTATTTTGTCCAGGTGGAGAGGAAAGGGCTATCTTACCTGTAGGAATATATTTTTTGTTGTTTTTCAAGGAAGAAAACATGTACTGTCTTAAGTCTTCTGTGAAGGGCAGTTGCACGTAGATGAGACACTAAGTGAAACAAAGGAAAAAAGAAACATCTAAAAAGAAGCAATCAAGTCTAAAATGAAAAATCTGAAGTTCCCTCAGAGTGTCCCACCACAGAAATATATAAAAAACAACAACAAAAAAATCCAAAATATTTATAAAGCAACAGTTTTCAGCAAAATAAAACAAAGATTGTTTAAAAATATAGCAATGACTAAACAGTTCATCTATACTGGCTGAATAGAGAGCTCAGGTTATTCAATCACTTTTTCCTGGCGGTTTCCTGTGCAAAGTTCCACCCAGCCAAGCTTTAAACACCCCATCGAATGGTGCTCTAGGAGGTTTTATCATAGCTTACTGTGTTTGAAAGCCAGAAGTTGTTTTTTGACATTTTCAGCTTAATTTTTTTCTTTATTCAAATACCTCCTCCAGCTCATATCACCCTAAATAATTCCTTTCCATCCTTCATGTTTATACCCTTCAAAAGTCTGAAGACTGCTATGTCCGCCCCCACCTTAGTCATTCCTTAGCCACGCTATACATACTCAGATCTTTGAATAGTCTCCTATAAGTAAGATCAGTGGAAACATATGCTGCATAAATTCTGAAATATTGTGCTGCTTTGGGCCTCCCAGAAAATTTTTTAAATTTTATTTCAGATATGATTCTGAGCACTACAGCTCAGAGCACTACAGCTTTCCTTAAAAAAGAAAAAAGGCCTTTTCTTTAAAAAAAAAAAAAAAAAGCTTCAGGACACCAAAATGAAATTATTACAATTTTATCTAAATAAAAATATATCTCTATTATAGAGGATACCAATGTATTATATTATTTTTCTATTTTTTTTCCTTCCTAGGGCATATATTTAAAACCATCTGTTCTGAATTGTTATTATCTTGCAAAAGCACCTCCTCCACCCCTGAAAAAAAAAATAATAAAAAAATTCTTCTACTATTTCAACATTCTGTAAATTCATATGGTTCAACTGTAATCATTTATTAAATCATATTTGTAAACCACTAGTAAAGAGGACCTCTAAAGAACAGTAAGAGTTAAATATTACCTCATATGTATCCTTAATATATGGAAAGGCTACACCAATCTGTGGGTTACATCTTCTATCATAAACATAACGCACTATAGCCACTACTTTCAACTCATCCAGTGCATGGATAAGGGCAGAAAAAGCAACTGCTGCATCAAGAAGAAAGAAAGAAAGAAAAAAAACCCTGCAAAATCATACAAGTTCTCAAAGACATCTGCTGAAATTCATTGTGAATTAATTTAGTGGGAAATCATTGTATTTCCAGTAAACATGCAGAGAAAAAATGAAAATATTATAATACTGTAGTTATTATGAGAGAAATATTATAAATATTGTCAGACAGAGAAAGGTAGACAAGTTGGACCCTTAATGGAGCAGAGCACTGAAGTTTTCACTTCTTATACTTCAGTCAGACCTCTGAAATACTGTAGAGTAACACAGTGGCACAACAAGCTTCTGTTGCATGTGAGAATGGATCTAAGTATCAATTCAACTTCTCTATGCCCTTATACATACATAACATTCACCAGATTCTCATTATTCATGAGATGTGGTATCCATCTGGGGTCTGATCCAACTCCTTTTGACCTTCTTGGGAGAACAGATCAAAATTTCTCCAGGTTGCATTAGGAATAATCCTGTTTTATTAACACTGCAAGAACCATCTCAAGCACTGCTAGTATTTTTTCCCATTCTACAACAGAACCCGTTTTGTTGACCTTACCTCATCATCTTTTGCTGCAAAGACCTTGAGAACCTGGTTGCCCATGTAGTACTGCCTCTGGACCTGCAGATTCGAACGGTCACGTGTTAGCTTGATCCAAGACAAATGTCATTAATGTAACTGGACCAATTAAATTATGAAACAACCAAGATCCTACGCATGTGAAAAAGCTGCAGAATTTAATTCCTGTGAGTACAAGTCCTGCATATTTTTCATGCTTGAATTTATCAGACAATATAGATATTCAGTCATACTCTGTAGTTTTGACTGGAAGCAGTGAGAGACGGTGCTAATGACAGTTGTTACCAGTCTGAGTTGTCTAATATGGCCAGCAAAGATGTGCCAAATAGATGCTGAAAAACACAAACAAACTAAAACAAACAAGAAAATACAAACAGAGAGAAAAAACAAAAAAAACACAATTGATTTCTCTTTGTTAAAGAAAACGTCTTCACACTGCGAAACAACAAGGCTACAGGTAGCTTGGAGACACTGTGCATCACCATAGCACTGCTCAAGTCAGTGACAACTTACCCCAGAGCACATCAGTTTTTGGATTACAGGAGGATTCTTGAACACAGATTATTGTACTTGCAATTATTCTTTACTCATCTATCTCAAAGAACTCATGCATTTTTACGTTCAGTGTAGTATAAGTATCTATACATCACTGCACCTTTTTTTTTGTTGTTTGCCAAAAATCTTTTAATAATACTTTCAAGTATTATTTCTTGATTTATATGGCATTGCTTATAAATTAAAAATCAAAGTTTAAGCGGCCTCTGATCTTCTTTCCTGAGGGATGTGAATAACTGAGAAAATAATATGAGGTGGTTCTATTCCTTCTTTAATTATGCATTTGGAGCTGCTCCAGTTTCTCTAGTTAATAATAAATTATCTTTTCTCCAAAGTTTTTACACGAAACAACTTAATAGAAAACATACATTTGAATAGTGTTAGGATTATGACTCCAAACAGTAAAATTCAGGAGCCAAAACATAAGGACAGTATGGATATGGAAAATTCTAGTTGTAGTAGAAAACCTCTCAATACCATCACCTAACGATATAGTTTCAGCCTTCAAAATCTGAAATTTTCATTCCACTGAGATCTTCACAACTACTGTTGGGCATAATTACTCACACTCTTGTTTACAGGACATGAGAACATATTAATTAATGTGTAACTTTTTATTACAAAATCCAGAGATAGGTGAAGTACATAACGAAACTACCAAAAGCAACAATGCTTGGTACATTGCAAAAATTTTGCACTGCAAACAATTTGTTAATTCTTTAAGGGATAATTATGTGAATCAAAATTTATTCCTACAATTAGTTTTACACAGGCAGTTTGAACATATATCCACCATATTCCAATGGTGGAAGAAAATGTCCTTAAGTGAAAAGACTGCTAACCAACAAGAAGAGCATGATGCTTCTCACCTATTTTCCTCTAACTGCTTCCTATTTCAGTGCAGGTCAGACTTCAGGCTGAAATAAGAGGCCAGACTGCAGTGTAAGAGAACACAGCACATGAAAAAGTATTGCAGAATGAGATGAAGACAGTAATACTCAGCTGCAGGCTAATAACGTGTGGGAAAAATGCAAAAATATGTCCCACTGAAAGCCTAGGTTCAGACATACCACAGCTGGATCATGCTTCCGGTCCACAACTCACCAGGCTCTGACATCTCTCTGCCCTAAGCAGTTTAAGGCATTAGAAGCTCAAGCATGATACAGCCCCCTGATCAGTCACTTTCAGTACACGGGATACTGTGTTATTTAACAGCTTTAAATTCTGAATGTCTTGATGTCCTCAAGTAGCAAACAGATTACAGCCAGGCTGGCTTCCCTTTTAATTAAAAGAGCTTAAATCCCTGGCTCCTCAATTAACAAAGTGCTTTGGTCCACTGCACATAGTCTAAGGGCATATTTAGTCTTCTAAGGGTCTCTGTGCCACATGTAGAGTTGAGCAGAAAAATGTGGAGTTACATCCATTTGGGAGTCAGCTCCCATGGATATTTCCATTTTCCATTATCTTTTCTTTTTTTTTTTTTTTTCTCCTGGCAAAGATAATGATTTCTCAGCCTTTTAAGGTTTCTACTTTACACAGTAAGAGAGATATTTCAAAAAAAAGGAGGGCCGGGAGCTTTCAGCACAGCAGGAACAGAGCTGCCCTATGATTTCCTTAGGGACTTCAGTTTAGGTGCTGAAGGGGACTGGGTGCAGTGACCTGCAAGATTAATCAAGTTTCAGTCACCCTTGGCAGTATCCTGAAGAGGGAAGAGTGGAGGCACCTTAACGTTTCTAACGTTCCTCACTTCCTGTACTTCCACCACTTGAGGAAAGGGTTGCTAGGCCTTCGCACTGGGATTTCCTATGGCTCAAATCTCAGCTTTCCAGCAGGAAACCACCTTGTGCTGGATTGCTTTTAAGGTACTCTCCCAATTAAAGCTCCTTGCAATTTCCAGTTAAAAGCGGGTCAAAAGTTACCCCACAGGTGAAGTGCCTATACTCCATGCCTAACAGTAGGCATCTGTTGGAACAGGCACAGCCTTTGAATGATTTTACTTTCATCTACACTATAGACCTTTGGCTACATTGAATTTTTGTCATAGTAAAACCAGAAGAAAGCTACTGCTTATACATCAGTCCTTACAAAAGTGAGAATGAATGCAATTGATTCTCTGGTTCTTTAATGATGACAAATGAGAAAAGAAAAACCATGCTCAGACAGGCAGAAACATGGCTGGACAAAGCCCAAGAAGGTTTCTGTGCAACCTGAACAGAAGAGAGACCATCTTTAGTTACAGATCTGCATCACTTCGAGCTACTGAGATGAAATGATAGTAAAGTACAGCTGTAGCCAATTTGTAGAGATCTGAGATCTGTGGTTCCGTTTTAATCAAGGGCCCAGACATATTAATGGACTTTTCTTCATCAGAAGAGTACACAGTGCTTGTATCTCCTACAATCAGCAAGCAAAAATCATTCTTGGTGGCAGATGCCTCATTCCCAGTCACTGGAACCCAGTGCAGCACCCGTACTTAGTGAAGCTAAACCAAAATCGATTCTCTTGTAAGGACCCACTAAGTTGAGTATGAAGAGGTTCAGTACCATACCTGAGAGGATCTAGTGAATCCCAAAACAGAAAAACATTTTGCTTCAGTTTTGTATTTCATTTGATCTTCATCTATTTTGGAAAAAGGAACTATATCACTCCCATAGCGAAACCCTGGAGAACAAGAAAGGAGCATCTGGTAAGCATATGGGCCTACAGTTCTAACACTGAAATTAGCTCTCTGAATATTTTAACAATGTATGCATGCCCCACAGCTACACTCTATGCATGCTTATCAAATTACTTTCTCTGTTAACAAAAAACACAAATAAAAAACAAAAACGAAATTATTTCATTATTTTACAGAAATAGTTACTCTTGCAGACAGTAGGAATGAAAATAAGAGAAAGGAGCATCTTACCCAAGTTATGTTCACAGATTAAATTTAAGAAAATGGACTATAACACTCTCTGCAAACCAGTAGGAAAACCCAACACAATTATATCAAAAATCTCCTGCAGGAAATGACAACACAAGGAATTCAGAGAAATAAAAATGTGCTAGCAATCTAAGTGAGACACCTGTTCAAATATGATGGAAAACTAAAAGTGCTCTAAAATACCAAAATGGAAGAGCACTTCTGCACACCACTTCCCTTGCCTTTGCATCTCAAGGATATTTTCACAGAATAGGAATATGACAGGTTCTCTCAGGCATGCTCTGCTGCACCTCCTTACACCTCCATCTCAAGTTACAGTATCTTCCCTGTATCTTCCCCTTTTTTATACTCTGTATATATATATGTAAATCCTAGGATGAATAACCCATACGCATATAAATTTTCCTAAAAACCAAAAAATAAATGACCAAAGCAAGTTTCAGAAAGGATGCTAAGGGGCAGAATATTGTCTTGTGTCATTTCTGATAATGTCCGTAAGAGCCCGTGAGACACCAGCAGCTCTAACTACACTGGGCATCACAGCAGTGATAGGTAAATCTTTGGTGTCATTGGTTAAGTCTGAACTGTTCACTACTTCAATGGTATCAATCATTCACCAACTGGGGCAGCCAGAGCATCAGCAGAGAATGGATATAAATGCTTCAAGATATACCTCCTACAAAAAGCAAGTTCTATTTGGTAAAAGATTTGAAATTATATAACATAAACAGATTACTAGTTTGTTGTTAGTTTTTTCTTATAAGAAAGTTAGGGTATTTTTATACGCTATTGCTACAAAATATCTATGATTGCTACAACTTAAAGAGGGTGAAAACAGAAAATGTCTTCATTTTTAAAATTATTTTAAAACATATTTTATTTAAATTTATTTTGGTGGCACGGAGTAGATTTTCCCATTTACAGTATATTTGCACTACCTGGTGCGTTTCAAATAGCAAAAAAAAAAAAAAAAAAGAAAGAAAAAATAATTAAAATGTACCTATAGAATCACAAGGAATTACACATATTTGCTTAACTCAATTTTAAAGAGAAGACTCTATTTTATACTGATACAGACGTCTTTATTTTTCTCAGAAATTTAATCCGCCCGGAGGGGCTGAAGGTTATGAGTAATTATCCTAATCACGTCAAGCACTCGGTATACCACTGCTTTAAATCAAACCTCTCAAGAATTCAAACAACACCTTGAACACTAACACTTCCTTTAATGGTTTCATCTTCCCATCTGCAGACTAGAATATTTGGTTACCTAGAAAAAATGCAGTGCTATGAATGCCACTTACGTATCACTACAACTAAAAGACTGAAAACAGTAATGTCACTGCTCACTAGAACATGGAGGTGAGCTCCTCCAGAGGACACAGTTTAGAAAGCTGGAGTACCTTCAAGTTCCACTAAGGATATTATTATTATTATTATTCCTATTACTGACAAAAGTAAGAACTTAAGAAATTTAATAATATAAGCCATTAAGCTTTGGTTTGCCTTCAAGGAGCATGGAAAAACGTCATACCTTGAATAGTATCATCCTTCTGAATTTCTGTCTCGTCATCATCATTTAAGCAGTAAACAGTTTCTCTTTGCACATCTTCTTTTCTGAGAGTTTTAGCATCTACCACTGTCCAAGTTTTTTTCACCCTCTCTTCTGAAAGCTGATGCCAGAATTTAAAGAAAAGAAATATTCATTGAACATTTCAGTTGGATCAATAAATAAATAAATAAATAAAACCCACAAAAGTGCACACACACACAAAAACAACTAAACAAAAATTTAGACTCACTGCTGGATTGTTTATCAAGAATGGACTAATACTGCCTGCTACCACAGTGCTTGCAGCACATTGTTTCAGCTGCATGACAGTTGTCAATCACTCATACTGCAGCAACTGCATACTTGTCTTACCTATTCACTAAAACCATGGGCTAGATCATCTATGCAAGTTTTTGGCCACAGAATGTCTTACTTGCTACCCATTTGACTTCCCCGCTCTTTATATTCACAGTTTTGGACATATCATTAAAACATATGTTAAAGATTTGAAAAGACTCATTCAAGCTCATTTATCTTGTTTGCACCAGAGTCACTATACTATGACAAGAAAAATACCCGATTAGTTAACCTTCCCCAAAAGGCAGATAAAGATACAAATTATATTACAGCACCCAGAAGAGAGACAATAAGTAAGTATTGGCAACAAGTGAATTTTGCCAGACTATAAGGAAAGAAAAACACTTTCTCTTCTTCTCTACTTAAATGAGATTGATGGTGAACCTAATAAATGAGAACAAAAATTGAGATCTGTGCAGAAATGAGAAGACAACAGACAAGGGCAGCAGACACAAGTCTATTCCTAGGTTTTAACTGCTGTATGAGCTCAGGTTAGTTGTTTGGTTCATGTTTTTCGTTCTCGCAAGTTCCACCGATGCAGTTTGTAAGTACCTTTGGGAAGGTGCTCTTACTGGGGCTTTGCCCAGGCCTGGCAGAAAAAAATCTTAATAAAATTAAAAATATTCATGAATAACCATAAATGGGAAGCTGCTATCCAGAGCTTTTCCAGGACCAAGAAGCCTGTCTTTCAGAAATCATGGAGATTTCGACTTTGTAATGCATCTTTTTGAAACCTTGCACTACTGGCTAGATCCTACTCGGAGATTCCAATTACAAGCCAAATAATCTCCATCTAACCACATCCATCACTATTGCCACACTATACGCTTGCCTCAAAATTATGTAGTAACTTGGATTTTGCACAATCTGTTATTAAACACAGTTCCTCCCCCTTCTTCCTTCCCTTCCCCTGACACTGCATGAAAACCCCATACAAACTATAAGGGAGACTGTGTGTGCCCTGGCAAACACTACAGAAATTGAACAAGCTGGAAGGACACATGTTTTTCCAAGTTTGAAATAACAACAGATATTAGAACAAAAGCTGGTAAGACATTTACAGACAGTGTCCCATGGTCAGAAGTTAAGAAAAATATTAAGACTCATTCAGCTCTGGGCATTTCACTGATGCCAAATGGAAAGTTTCACACATGTGCAGCATTCTTAATTAAGTTCATCAACATCAATGCCATTAAGTGTCATATTGTAGATAGGACTTATTTCTGTTTCGGTACATGATGAATTTTAATTCTTAATATATGTGTACAATGTGATAAAGACAGAGTTGCTGTGGGAACCATAGCTTTAGATGTATCAGCTTCTGCACATATAAAATCTCTACCATAACTATTTTGGATGTTGTTTTATCTTTTTATTTTCTGAGCTTTAAGGAAAAAAAAATGCCGCAGCACCTAACTTGCTGCACCAGGTACACTGAAAATATGATTTTATTAACTTACAGATTTGTAGGCCACGATCCTTATAGACAGATCAGAACCAATGGTTAACTGGCAGGGCCAAGGCATAGGTCTTCTTTCCATTTTCTTAAACATCGAAAGACGCTCCAGGCTTTCTCTAAATGAAGGAATCAAGAAAACTGAAATGAACTCTTTGGTGAACTGTAATAAAACGTTACAGGCAATATACTCTCTCCTGGGAGATGCAGAAGCCCAATTGTTTCAGCTTAGACTGCATAAAGCATTAGAAAATAAGCTGCATGAGTAATCTTTTCATTGTACAAAAGAAGCGAATGAACAAAAAGAGAAGGAACAGTAAATCATTCCCCGCTCAAATCTTTATGATGCTGTGACATTAGGGCTTAAAAACAGTACAGCAGGTCTTACAGGGAAACTTACAATTGCTTATTAAGTGTTTTGCATTTATTGCTCCCCATCCAATTAGGATATGCAGCTGGCCAAACAATCCAAGCCAGACAGGGCTTCTCAAGTAGTAAGATATTTTCTACAGTGGAAGTGAAGAAATAAAGAACCTATTTTAATTAACATTATTTTGTCTGAGAACTAACTTCTGTCACATTTTCCTTAAAGCTCATACTAATGAGTTCATAATTTTCATAGCTCTGTTAGAATGAAACAAGTTACTTGGAATATTTGTAGTCCAAATAGTACCTATGCAACCTTATAAAATGGGGGAAAAAGGCAGGCTAGTGTTTTATTTCAAAAACTATTTACACAGTAGGAAACCTTTAAGCAATGGAGTCCAAAATTAAGAGGTTGGAAAAAAAATATATTTATTATTGTGAAAGAAAATGAGCTTGATCTTTGCATCCCAGAACAGCTTCCAGATGATCCTGAGTGTGTTAGCCATTTTGCCACAAAATTCTAGTGCAGATGAAGAACAAAGAAAATATCGTCTCCACCACACGATGAAGCAAAGGAAAAAACAGTGCTGACCTCAACATCTTATATCACGGTGAACAACTAAATGCACTTCTCTTGATATAGAGTAGTTCTGGCAGAAATTAAGATCACCACTTGACACATTACTACAAAATTTAACTTGCTCTTCTAATTTTACACTCTCTTCAAAAGAAGAATTTTAATTCTAACAGCACAAAAATGAAAGGAGAAAATGAGCTGGGATTTTATAAGGACAAATATTATTTTTATTTTTCCTTGAGTAAAGGAAGGGATTTTTTTTCTGTTAAGAGAGACATCAATATAGAGTTTAACATAATGACAAATAATTTAACAATATTTTAATAGTATTTTGTAAAGCTTAAGGTCATTTATTTAAGAACATTTATTTAAGAACATTTAAGTACACTGTTAGAACTACAGCAACACATAACAGCCAAGAAGAGATGTGAAAAATCAAATCCCTCACAATGCCATACTAGCTCAATTTCCTAAATCTTTTGTTCCTTTTATCTGCACTTCAAAATGTATGGAGCCACTAAAAGCCTAGCAAATACAGACTTCAATTTGTATTTAAAAAAATGTTTCTTCTCCTCTGCTCCTCAGACCCTCCCCCCTGAAAGGGGAACTGGGCAGAAACTTCTAATGCTTCCTGACAGAATTCCAGAGTATCAACTTCCTTGTTGGCAACACTGCTATAGGATCCTTCCCCTGTACCTTAAAGGCATTATCAAACCATGGACCAATACAAAGCATTAATCACACTTACTTTCCTGGAATGACTCATTAATTTTCATGAGAATCAAATCTTTTTATTAATTCTTTTTTTTGTTTTTAATTACCAGCACCAATAATGAAAGGGGAAAGCAGCGTGTCTGAGTTGGTAAATTATCATGACAGTTTTGCATGGCTAACTTCTTAAAGCTGGATAAGCACCTTAACTGCATCTGAAACCTCACATATTCTTAAACAACTAAAGCTTTAGTCTATTAGCCAAATGTCTATTTATCCAAAGATTTGAGATTTCCCCTAAAATCATGGCATAAAGACAGCTTATACAGTATCAGAGTCTGTGACAGAAAATACAAAGAAGGGCCAAACCACACAGTAGCTTCATACACACATATTACCCTAAAGAATAGCGGGACCCAGAAAGATGCTTCTTTTCTCCTTTTTTCTGCATTTTCTTCAGATTCTTGATGCAGGAACAAGCTTTTTGTTTTTTCTGAAAGTGTTTTGCAGAAAGACTCGGGCTGCTCTGTTGGCCGATCAGAACACATAGGCAGAGATGCTCATGGGTTTCTCCACCTGCTCACACTAATGCTCAGATAACAGTATCTTTCCACCAAGATAAAGCAGAATGATTTCACGGGGTGAGGGAAAGAAACCCCACAAGTAAAAAATAAATAGCAATATGCAAACCTACAGGTACCATTCTCACCTAATGAACTCATACAACTAAATATTACATGTGACAGTCACTCTGCAGCTACAAACTAGTAAGATTCCTGAAAATACCATGTTAAAGCTCACTGCATAATTACAGATTGAAAGTACTATGATGGTAAAAATAAGACTTTTGTAAGACATCATTTGGAGCGCATATGCAGTTTTCTTGTTTCTCAACTAATACGTGTGTGGAAGAGTCTCACATACAGCTTTAGCAACAGTTTGCCAAAGACAAACGTATTTTTATTGTTTGATTGGGGAGATATCAATCTTTCAATTCTCCCGTTAGGAATTCAGCTGAAATGGTGTATTGTTTGGCACAAATACACAGTAGTTTGTGACTAAAGAGCAGGATTCAAGATACAATGTTAATTGAAATGTCTGTGGGAGTTGGATAAACCAGTGAGCTATAAGAAATCTGAAACTAAGAAACAAAAGCTACCATCAAATGCAAATGTTCTACCTGCACTATCACATATTCCAACTCTTTCATAAACTCACTTCTGAAATCTCCCTTACAGAAATATTCTCTCAAAAAATGCTCCAACACTCCCAGAAAAAAAAAAGATATATATATTTTTTAAAAACAGAAATCCAAGAAAATCCATTTCCCAACAAAATCTGTAAGCTTTTCTACCGATTCTAAAGCTGCTAAAAAAAGTTGTTTGGAAGGTACTGAATGTACACTGATAAAATTCACCAATTTCAGTGACACTGACAGTCAAATGACTATTAAATTTAATCATTTGTGGGAAGAAATCAGAAGGTAAATTCACAGTGTGATAAAGAAGATTAGCCAACTTTACCTGAAAGTGTAAATTTCTTCCAGGCCTCCTCCTTCATCCAAAGCATGCATCAATTTCTTCACCACGTGGATTCCTTCTTTCTGTTGCTCAGTTATGTCCTTTCTTGCAAAAGAGTTTTTGTGCAAATGAGAATGTGCATCAGTATCTCCACCTTCATCATCAGCATCCACTGGAAATGGCAGGCTAAGATCACAAGAAGCAGCAGTTACTTTTCTTCTCAACTAAAACAAAAAACTAAAAATGAATCAAGAACTGTATCAGGAGTCTCTCTTTATACATCTAGCTACATTCAGATGTACACAGAGCTGCACAGCTTGCAAAACACATGAAGCAATCCTTAGGTCTGCAGGGCATTTGCAATGGCTTGGCTAGTGTAGAGCACAAGTATCACACTTAAGTGGAACGTGCACCTCCTAGAAGGTGTTAGGAAGGGAAGAAACATGGAGCAAAAAGACTGCAGAGAAGGCAGTGAGAGGACAGGGCAGATGTGAGAGTTACTAACTACGTAAAAACTTGTGGAAAAGGCAGCAACAATCTGTTCTTCATATTAAGCCTTCCCTCAAAATACATCATGAAGGAGTAAGGTAAAAAGCTCAAACTATCATCTCAGGAACACACTGTCTGAGGAGATGGAAGAGTCTCCATCACTGGGAACATTTACAAAAAGATTAGACAAACACTGTTCCAAAGTGACACACAGAGCTGGCACGGACCAAGGCAGAGGATTGTTAAGGCCTTTCCAGGTCTGGGACTCCAGGTCAGCTCTAGATGCCACAGAGCTCTTTCTCTGCAGCAGGACTATTAGATAGTTCTGGAATAAATGTTGCTCTTTACGGGATTTTAATAACTTAAAACACCAGGTGAGTTTCTGTCCAAAACCGACATTTTTTCCTGTATCTTATGAATAAGAACACAAACAAAAAAGCCAGGGTTTGTGGATAATGCCATTTTGCTGCTCTTCCAATTATAACACCGAGTTAACTAAGTACAACAACCACAGAAGAGACCTACATAACTCCACTCTGTTCCTTTGCCTATGCCTGCAGATTCTCAGCTCTTTTGTCTGATCCAGACCATGATGTCTTTTATCACACTTTAAGTAAAAGAATTCTAGCATTGCACTATGTGGTCAAGAGAGTAACCTGCATTTTACCTGGCTTACTATCACCTCATTAGTCCACATTATATTTTATCCATGGAACAACATACAATAAGCAGAGTTAACAATGCACAAAGCATACAGGAAAACCATACTCTAAAGCCAGCAAAAGAGCAAAAAGCTTCAAACTCCCGATTCACAGATGTTAAACTACTTTCATTATACACTGCTCAGAGACTACTGCAATGGGAACTGTGTAATGACCAAAGCTACACAGCGCTCGCTGTGTGTTTCACACTTGGCAGCAGAGCAAGACCAACTATCTGCCACAAGACACAATCTGATCAATAACCAGGGCACAACAGCTGAAAAACAGAAAAAAAAAAAAAAAACAGAAAAACAACACGGTTTAGCAACAAAGGATTTTTAACCAGCATTCCAAGAACCGTATTTTCGTATAGGTATTTCTCAAAGCACCATTTGTTTACACAGACTGGGAGACAAGGTGTAAAACCATAGCTGACACTGTAACAACAACATTTCCCTAGGGCTTATATTAGCCATGGGAATTTTCCTGTGCTGTGTTGCTGAAGAGAAAAATGAAAAGCTGCATGAGAAGTCTCACAAGACCCTAAACTGAAACATGAACTTGTGATGGCAGCATCTGTGCTAGTCAGCACAGCAAACCCGTATGCAGACGAGGCAGCAAGAGCTTTAAGTTGCACTAGCTATCAGAGCAGATAGCAGGTCTCCAAAGCCACGTACTCTGGCTGACAGCACGCACACAGGTTCAGGGTGTTGTGTTTCTGCTGCCAATGTACCAACAATAGCTCAAATAAACTCAACGAGACGTACCAAAGCTCCTTTCAAGCACACCTCCTTTTGCTGTGTAGACAAAATATGAGAATAACCAGACATTTTTTACATTCAGCCTCTCCCAAGCACAGAAGACCTTTTCTCTATGCCTATATATTAATTCAATATCCTTTTTAAGAATGTCTCAGCCATCTTGCAGACAGATGCGCAAATGGAAAATGTTGGGCTCAGCCAGTAAGCGCTAAAAAAAGAAAAAGGGTCAAAAGTAAAACAAAAATTCTTTTTCCAGCAACGTTTAATACATTCCAATATGACTACTGATTCTTTTGATCATTACCTATACCAAGGTAAGTAAGGGATTCTGGTCATAATGCTTGAGATAATGATTCAATCTTTCAACCAAGCCTATCACTGTGAACATATTCTTTTCCTCCCTCTTTCTTCCCTCTTGACACCAAAATTAATATATATGTCTGTGTGTGTGTGTGTGCGCGCGTGCATACATATACAAGCACACACATATACATCTGCAGCACCACTTCATATCTCTCTCATCTAAAATGGTCTAGACTATTGCCGTGACAGGACCACTGCTTCTCAAGATATTTTTGTTTCATCATTTCCCATTTTTATACTGGTATAAAAAATTTGCCTCCTGTTGTAATCTTTGAAAATAAGCTGTAAATTTAACTAGTAAATAATCATTATTTTAATGTGTATTTGTACATTACTTAAACATGGAGACTTGGTTCCAAGCTCAAACTCACACACTGTGGGTGTATAATACCATATATTATCATATATCCATATAATTACTTAGAACGATCATATTACATACAGCTAATTCTCTATAGAAACAACATCAAACACTTCAGCAGGTCCATTAAGATGGCTATTAAAAATAGAATGATTTCCCTTTGAAAACAGCAGCATTTAACAACCACTTCTGTACTTACAAAAACTGAAGCAGAATTCCTGTTTTCTTCAAGTTATCGATGATAATTTCCAGTTGATCCTCACTGACAGGACTGCTAAGGTCTGTAAACAGTTCAATGTGCACCTTCTCGTATTTCTTCCCTCTTAAAACAAGAGAATATTTTATATGTGTGTGTATACATAAACATCTCAAAAATATTATATATTTTTTTAATTCTTTACTGACAAAAACGAAGTTTGCAGTAATACACTTCTAACAAAGAACAACAAAAAAAGAATGGATGCCATTTAAATATGATTGAATTACATCTATTTGGTAAAGTTGCTCTTTCTGCTATTGAAATACTATTTAATTTTTATTTTATTATTCCCTTCACATACACATATTCCACCCACAGAAAAATCAACTACGTCAAAGCAAGTGGCATCATCTCAGTTTTCCCCAATGTAGATCTAATGCTATTGAAACATGTTAGGTCGCTTATGTATTATACTCAATGCCCTGTCCCTGTGAAAGTATTAAATGTATTTTAAATAGATGTTGCTGGGGATTTTCCACGCTAGGAGTCTGGTTCAATAGAATAAGAAGGACATGAAAGTCTACTTTATATCTGAGGCTTTCTTTCAGAAATAAGTGTTAAGAATAATGTTCTAACTTGATACAAGTATTTCTTCCATGGATATCCCCAGGAGTTAATTTTGCTCTTTGCTCTTACCAAATCTAAACTTACTGACCAGAAAGACCCACTATAAAGTCACTTTAGGACACAACAACATTAGAAAGTTCTGCTAGATACCAAACAAAGGTGAGGGTCACGCATAAGTAAAATTTTATCCATTATTTCCTCAACAGTATTACCTCAACTGAAGGTGAACCCCATAAGAAAAGAGTAATTATTTCACAAGTATTTAAGATTATACTGCTATAGATACAGCAATTTTAATTCACAAGTCACTTTAAAAAGTTAAATTGGTATAGTTTTCCATCCAGATCAGCCTTTATTCATAAGATACAAGCTTGACTCACTGAGTCCAGTCCTTTGCAATCATATTTAGACCACATAATTCTTTCCAAGGGTGCTCAATCTCCATTTTAAGAATAATTAAGCTTCTTTCCCTTGCTCTGCAATCCTATTGGAACATCAGTCCACTAATTGTTAGAAATCATAATTTTTAATCTAAGTAAAACAGACAACTTTTTAATGCTTGGACTTGCGTCAAAATTATCCTTCAGTTTGAAGAGTTTTTTCACCCCCACCCTGTATATTTACATCAATCACCTATCTCCAGCAGCCTTTATTTTGCTAAGCTGAAGAAAACCAGGGTTTCAAAGGTTTCTTTCGTAAAATGTGTTATTACTCTGATAAATTTAGTAGCATTTTTCTACACCTGTTACCATATGAATTAATGTTTCTTGAGAACAGGCAGCAAGAAACATGATACTATTTTAAGTAAAGTCTTCTTGGCTTATACAATGGCATTAATATTCTCATATCTACTGCAAAATCCTGAGTTGAATCAGAAAGATCTTAAATTATCTAGGAAAGCTAAACTGCTCTTGAAGACTCTTCAGAGACAGAATCCTGTAATGACTTTTTAAAGCATCTTCCATATTTACACAATTCTGCAGTATTGACAAGAAGTCAGACCAGCTCTGATGCTTGAGTTCAGAATTCTGTTAAAGACTGTATGTTACATACTTACATTGTTTCCTTCTGAAGCAAGTCCATGCATACAATAATTGCATCCAGAACTGACTAAATTAAAGAAAAACCTCATTTAAAACATGAATCCTGCCACAAAGTGACAGTCTTCTATTTTCACACCACCAGAGACAAACATACGTGTATTTAGGTTTAACAAACAAGAAAACAATTTTTGAACAGTGTATTCTTTAAGTATCTACTGTGCAAGAGGTCCCTATATAGTGTGTTGTCCTAGGATTTTCTCCTCATTTATTGGATCCTTTAACTGTCCATGATAGGCTTGAGAAGTCCATTGAAAGAAAAGTCAAACATTTGCAATTATAATTTGACTCTATATTTACAAACAAAATTTATTTTCAATATAGAGTGTCCTTTATAAATGTTAATTTTCCTTTAAAATACCTGCATCTGGCATCACCTGATAATTTCCTTCTCAGAATAATTTTCAATGGAAGCAAGTTTTTATCACCATTCTCAAACTAGTTCACTCAAAAAAAAAATATGGCATCATTTGTCATAACATAAAATTGACTGGCTGTAAGTTTCTCTGAAACAGTTCTGTGACATCCTGAACACAAAAGCATTCTGTTTACACTGGGAGGGAATAAAAGATTTATTTCTTTGCAGAAAGAGGGAACACAACAGGGTAAACTGGAACATTTTTTAATGAAACATACAAAGGAAGACTCTTTGGATAGCCTTATTTTGAAACTCTACATCTCATACAGCTAACAACAGAATAAACTATTTAAATTAATAAATGATACTTGACTACATTAGAAATACTTCATAGCAAAAATCTGCCTAGTCTCCAGCATATTCTGCTCTGTCTGGCTTCTAATACTTCTGCTGACATGAGATATATTTTGTCAATAACAGTTTTATTTAATGAAAAAGCATGCTGCACTAAGCTCTGCAACACTATATTTAACACACATACCTTATTTGTAGCTTACAACTGTATTATTACTATCTTTTTTTCTCTCTAATTAATAGAGCACTCACAAGAGCAACAATTCCCTGAGGCCAAGACTCCATCTGCTACCTTGAAAGAATGTCAGAAAGCAGCTAATCTGGTTTTGAATCAATTTACAGCACCAAATTAGCTGCACTTTGTTTTGCAAGAGCTGCAGCTACAACTTGCAGTGGCAAGTCCAGGCTCATTTCACAGTGCTACTTCCCATCTTCCATGGAGCTGAAGCAGCTTAAGAGGTGATCTTTGACAAAAAGGATACAGTCTGCTTGTTCAGAGCCTGGTTGAATCACAGTTTGAATATCCTCCAGCAAATCAAAATCTGGCAGCATCAGTGATCTGTGTACAGTAATGTTCTGATATTGATCCCCACTAGCAAGAACATTCCTAGTACCATCTGTGCCAAACAAAACTACAGCAACTTCATCTTTACTTTCAGCAAAAACCTGGGAAAAGGAAAACACAAAACAAGTATAAAAACACAGGTAGATACATACCATACATACCTATGTCAGGTAAACAGGAAGCTGAAACAATTTTGCAATGGAGGGTGAGTTACAGTGGGTTTGCTTTTCAGTGCAACCACAAACATAACCCTATCAAAATGTAGTCATACACAGAATTCATTAGCTCAGATATAAAATTAAACAGACTTTCAACTTTAAAACATGAGGATATCTGCAGTACAACAAATACAACTGTCTGACTTATTCCTCCAAACATCTTCAGTACAGTCAATCTAATGAATGTTGAAGATTTTGGGGAAGAAAAAAAGATTATTTCTTTTTTTTTTTTCCTAAAGAGTGGCCAATCAAAGCACCAGATCTCACCCACAGAACTACAGCTGAAATTACATATAGCTGTTATTCCTGCATGAAAAGAAACTACTTCTTACTCATTTCTCACTTACTTCAAATATTGAGAAATAAGGAAAATAGTTCACAAATATACACATTTCCTTCCTACTCTTACATGTGATTATTAAAAAAAAATATCATAGTCACAAGTACCTGTCGCTGCAAAAACTTTGTCATAACCTTTTTGGCTTGTTCCAGTGGAGACTCCTCTCCAGGAGCAGCGTTGCCCATCGTAAGGCCCACATCCAGACACAGCACTACAGCTGCCTACAAAGGAGATACAATATTCAATAAGAACATAAAAGGGCCAAGGGAAGCATAATTACCTAAAGGAGGTGGTTCAGATCTATGGCATGTTTCAAGTGTCTCAGCGGAAAGTGCAAGAAATCTTGTGTTATACAATAATTCTTGAGGAGAAGCTTGTTTTTACTCAACCAGTAGCTACTCCATGAAAACCCAATGCATCTAACAGTTCTTCTATGCTAGGAAATAAAACACAGACACTCCAGTTGGCCATTACAAGCTTTAACACAAAGGCAATCTACCTGTACAGCACAAGACAGGGATGCTGGCCTGCTCCTTAAGCTCTGTAGCTACATCTGCCTCACACATATCTTCAGAACAGCGGTAGAAATTCTCCGATAGCATCACGATGACCAGCTTTTGGGCGCTGTTTGATCTAGCTTGGAAACATGAGACCAGCTGTAAAACCAGAGCTTTCAGCAACAGAGCTAAAACTGTCACTGCTGCTAGTGGTGCCTCTGGGGTGAGCCCCAGTATGCACAGAACGAGCTGTGCTCTTAATGACTTACAGCATGAAATCCCATTTTAACTTAGAGGCTTAAATCCCATAAACTAGTATATGAATTTGCATTTTCATCATTGCTTTAACTAACCTGTGTACAACAATTCCCAAAGTCTTTCCTTTGAGTGATTTACAAGCCACTATGTGAATAAAAGTTTTCTTCTGTTTTCTCTTATTCAGCATTTATTAATAATAATACTATTTTCTGTGACTTGCCCATTTAACTAGCTTTGTTAAACTAATCTGGATTTTATTTTCACAGACTCTGCTAATCTCGGTTAACCTCAGTAATCACATCATTGAAGCAAATAAAGTCAGAAGGTAAAGTCTTGCCTTGCAACTTCAAGGACAAAAAGTCAGCTCACATTTGTAATCACTATCTAAACCATTTTTCAAATACACATCAACATCTTTTCTTGTGGAGAGCAAGTAACCTAAATTAAAGTGCCAAAACAGGGCATTAAAAGAGAAGACTAAGAGAAACAAAACAAGCTTTGTGGTCTGCTTTTCAGAGGAATAAGCACATTTTATTCAGCCACATTTCTTTTCCAGAATGCAATAAAAAATAAAAATAAAAAATGAATAAATAAAAAAATCCTTTCGTACAGTATTCCAAGATCCTCAACCACAGTGATCTTTTGCTTTTCCTTTCAAATAACACTACGAAACTTTTCAAGTAGGAGCACAAGTGTTCTGAAATTAATGTGAGTAATGGAAATAAAGAGACTTATTAAATCACATTTACAGGGACAAACTTAAAGGCAGAGCAGTACAGCTCTTTGCTGACGCGTTGTCAACATTTGTCAGGCCATGGAATGCGGAGAGCAGGACCAGGGCCTGCTCCCTGCGCGCTCCCACATGCGGCACAAGAACCAGTACGCAGTCAAGTACAGCTGAGTACAACCAGGTACAACCAGGCACAAGAGGCACCCCGCTTAACTCCACTGTTACAATTTTTATAACAGTGGGTCTTGATGGATATTACTTGGTGGCTGCTCTACTTCCTCGAGTAGCTCCTCAGCCATCACAACTGTTTAGTGAGACAAATCTCTCTACTGAAGATGACCAGGTAGGATGAGAGCATCTTGGGCAAGCTCTGCCAAGCTCTTTTAGCAACTCTCATTTAGACTGGCTAAGGCGAACACCTTCTCCATATATTTTTGGAGACTTCTGAGAACGTGAGGCACGAGAGACCCAGGATACAGCCACGACAGCATTTTAGTCTGCAACAAACCCAATGTTGAGCACGGATTAAACTGCTCGGTATCAAGAGAGATATTCTTAAAGCTTCTACCAGCGGGACTGCCTGGACACACCAAATAACCGATGTGCCGTGCACGGCAGAACTACCGCCAGGACTTCAGTGGCTGCACATGCATCGCACCCAGACGGGCCCCTCAGACAGGCCCGGAGGAACCGAGGAGCGGCGGTACCTCCAGCGCAGGCGGCGGGGCACCCGGACCCCCCACCCGCGGCACGGAGGGACCCACTGAGCCGA